GTTTTTTACAGTATAAAAACTATGTTTATTTTCTATTTAGAGAAAAATATCTTTGTTACGTAAAAAAAAAAAAAAAAACAGAGCCTCGTAGTGTATTTCTTGTTCATTTTTCAGTTAATAGAAGCGTACTTTAGCCTACAGGTTAACTATGCAAAATTTAATAAATTAATCTTCTAGGTAGTAAGAAATTATAAAGACCGTCTAAGTCATGACTTAAAACAGCTAATTGCATAGAATATTGTCTTTCAATGTAAATAGCTCTATTATTAATGTTCATATTAAACTTAGCATTGAATAGTTTCTTTTAGAATAGAAACAGTGTTTCAAAATGATTAATTTATAATGTAAGTAACCATTTCAGAATGTATAAAAAAGAATTTAAGAATTCAATTTTTTAACAATACAAAAAAAAATGATTTATGTAAACGTCTATTTAAGTCTCTCTCCTAATAAACCTTTATTAAACTGATTAACAGGATATAATTAATTGACTTAAAAGCAAGAACTAAATGGGATTTGATTAAATATATATTCACAATTTAACGTCTTAATATAAATTAATTACGTGTCATTCAAACTACGAAAATTTAGACTTTGTTAAAGGATATTTTTAGCATTTTGATTGATTGAATTTTTAAAAAAAGACAAATCCATTTTGAAAATTTATATCTTCATAGTGTATAGGCCTATAAATTTCTCATTAAATTCGTTCTAATTTCAAAATATTTTTATTATTTGCGTGTTATAACACATTAATAATCATTAAGATTAATAAGATATGCTTTTATTTATAAAATACAAAGATATTTTCATTCTTATCCATTCAATAAAGTCTAGTTTATCCGAATACATTGGAATTGAAGTTGAAATAATACTATAATAATATAAGTATATTATATAATTTAACAGAAAATAATTAAAATAACAATGTATTAAGTGAAGCTGAATAATTACAATTTATATATAGGCAATATATATATATATTTTTTTTTCTTAAAATGTTTCAGGAATTTCAGTGACTCTTTAGAGACTTGAAGGAATAGCGTTGTTTAAACGAGAATGTCGTTCAATTCTAAAGAGCTATTTCTTTTCTTTTCTTTTTTTTTTTAACAAAGTACTCTGAATTTGCAATAATGGGGATATGGTCATTTTTTTTCTCTCTCACTCTCTCCAATTCTGTCATCGCCACCACAAGTATTCTTTATGCCTAATAGCTGTGTTTCTCTATAGAAGACCGGCGCCGTCTTAACTTCCCATCCGGTTCTTTGTGAGTTCTCCCACACCACTTTTCCTGTTAGGCCCGAAGCCAATCCTGGGGCAACTATAGTGGGCCACGTGGCTCAACTTGTCTTTGCCTCCTAGATATGTATCTGTATAAAGAGTAATATCTGATTTCATCCTTTCTTCACTATACTAATCTTTTATTCAATTCTCTTCTAACTATAGAAATAATTTACTATAATAATATTAAATTTGAAAGATGTTCTTATTCTTTTATTTTAGTATAAAATTTTATTTTAGTTACATTGAAAAATTAACTTACAAATTTGCTGTAATTGAAATAATGATAACAATATGCAATTATTTTCTCTTCTATACTGGTTAATGAAAGATAACAATGTTAATAGGAGATGCTTATAAATCATACAATACATAAGGCTACTTTTTTTTTTACATAGTATAAGATAGATGGCTTTTAAACCTTGTTTAGCCTATATATGTCTTCTATAAATAAGATATAGACTAGAAAGTAGCGACGTATATTTGTATTAATATATTATTTATATTAATACTTTTAATAATAATTTTTTTTGATAAAAAAAATTACTTACACAATATTATGGATGTCCCAAATTTATCAGGTAAGCATTATTTAGAGTTGTAAGTAACCGAATTGAAGGAAAGTATGTGAAAAACATTCCTTTCTTCGGTTAGAATACGGATATTTGTCTACTAATCATGACTATTACATTACAAAAAGATTGACGTAAGGTAGAATAAGAGTAATCTAATATCTCTTAACAGTTTTGTGCTATTGTATCGAACAGTAGCACGAAAATCAAGCTTGGGTGACGACGTTGATAATATGTTCAAGTGACATTTTTTTTTATTTCTTTGTTTTGTTAGTTTACAGGCTTACACGCTTTTCTAAACAATTTAGATTTTTGAAAAATTACAATTGCATTAGAATTTTCTTTTATAAGCCTATACATTCCCAACTAAGAATAGAACCGGTATATTAAAAATAAAAATAATAATAAATAAATAAATTTAATTATTTTTAAACTATTCAGAGAATGAATTCTATAAAACACGAATGGATCCTTTTATATTGAAAAAAGTATCTGTTTACGGTGCACAAATTGGCCATTGGATTAATTTCCAGATCGCTAACCTTGTACTAGACACTAGAACACCTGCAACACCTTTTTATTGTATCGAAGTTAACGGGTTGGCTGATGCTGTTTGACTCATCTGCCCCGAATATCTGCAGTAGATAGACAAAATGATTCTGACTCCACCTGCTTCTTCCTGCGCATGATTGACAGAGCTAGACAACACTAGATGTCTGTTAATGAGCCATAGGTGCATTCGATGTAAAAACTTTCGTCGAGTCAGAATGTTAATTTCGTCTATTTCTCTAAATTATATTAGGTGTTAATACATTAAATAAATCTTATATTTATAATTATAAAATAGTATTAATTCGAAAAATCGATCGATTATAAATGCAGTAGATCTCTCCCCTATAACACTGTTGATAATTTTGTTTTATATGAATTCCACGTTGTACGAGTCACTTAGATTTTACAAATACACAGTCCGGTATACATATTTGTAAAATCTAAGTGACTCGTACAACATGGAATTCATATAAAACGGAATTATCAACAGTGTTATAGGGAAGGGGGGATCTAGTGTAATTCAATTAATTTTACTATAGAAAATGATTTAAAGAAACGAAATTGGTATCAATTAATTGTAATTCTCGGTAGGTTAATCATAATTAAATTCTCGTGACGCGTGCGTCATCGATTTCGTCTTCACTTTATACGTACGCACGCGTAATGTTAGCGAGTGTAGCGCCCCCGCATTCAGAACAGCTGTGAGATGTGAGCATTGGAGCGTCCTGGCTGGCACGTGGTCGACTTATATCCCGCTAACTTTTTCGGCCTAAGGTGGTTTTTGGGAGACGGAAGAAGGGAAAAATGGGGAAAAAGGATGATCAAGGGTGGAAAGAGAAACGTCTTCCCCCGAAGCTAACGATTTAGCTTAGGTAATTTAATTTGGATGTAAATTGGCTTGTAATTTGTATTGTTTGTTCTTTTCTTTTTTACAATGATCGGGCCATTAAAAAAAAAAAAAAACTAAACATTTCCCCACTTCTTTCTCTTTTTCCAAATTTCCTTTTGACCCATGGGTCTTTGTTAAATATGTAAATTGCCTGTTTCGAAATTAAAATCTCACGTTGTAATAACAAAATACGATTTGTTTTCAAAACAAATTAATCTTTGGGATGAATTTTTTTTTCCTTCATAATTAAATATTTAATCTTTCGAGTGTTTATTTGAATTTATAAAAAAATTTAAAATTATAACGTAATAAAGGTTTATTTTAAGGACACGCGATACTTTTTTATTCTCTAACAGAATTATTACCATTATTTTTAGTTATTATTGAAATTACAATATAAGGGCAAAATAATTTTTTTTTTTTGATATCGCAACTTTCTTCTGAGAATAGAAGGTGAGAGTAATTATTTTGGATAAGTTTATTATTAATTAATAGCTACTTACAGTCAATTTCTGGTAAGAAACCGTCAAAGTAGGTCGAGAAAAAGCTTGGGGGGGAATGTATCCCGAGGAGAGAAATTGTAGCAAAAGGGGAGGAGGAACGGATGTCTCTTTAGAAAAGGAAACATGCTCACGTGCATGACAAGCGTGCATGTTAATTTACACGTAATATATTTAATATTTCGAATAGATTTATGCTTTAAATTATTCTAATTTACCTATTAAAGATTCTCTCTCTCTCTCTCTCTCTCTCTCTCTCTCAAGTAAAAGTATAAAAACCCATAACTTTTGTATTGAATTTGATAGTTTAATGTCGTTAAAAGTAACAAAAAAAAAAGTCGTATATAGAAAGAATTGACAATTTTTTTTCTTTCTTATTACTTTCATTGGTTATTTTATATCGTTAATTTGTAATAAAAATAACAAAAGATGCATTTATAATAGACCCACTTCTGTATAAACTCAAACAGAGCGTGCATTCTATTATACTTTAAAACTTTAACAAGCTTTATTGAGTCGATATTTATTCCCTGTAATTATTTATAAGACTTCGAAAAAAAACTTACTTAGACGTAATAGTGATGTATGAGACAGCTACAAACTATCTAAATATCGATTATTATTTTACATAACAGGTTTTATAAATGAAAGGGTATAATATACTACTTGTACCATTGTTAATTAGTTATTAAAATTAATAATAAAACTTGAAGTATAGACCAGAGTATAATAATGTTTAGTAATTTCAATATGTATGTGTTCGAAGTTAATTATATTAAAATATTCTTTTTTAAAAAAGAAAATAACACACAAAACAGTTTTAAAAGTAGGAAAATATCTTTATTTTCACAAATTTTTATATCAATTATTGAAAAAAATAATAATAAAAAAAACAGTGCGTTTTTATATCTGATATGAGCATATATCATAACGACCGGAGAAAAGATGAGCAAGGCCGCTGCCGGTTTGAAGAATATCACACTCTGAGTCTCTTTATATAATAATAATAATAATAATAATAATTATATATAATACATAATGTACAGGAATGGCAAATCTAAGTGGGGTTGCTAAAATAAAAAACTAAGCATAATATTATTTTATGTACCACATGAATTTTAAAGATGGTATAAAGATTAAATTTCAAAAAATGCTATACTATGAGGTGGGTAATTTTATTAATGTTTGAAAAAGATTNAAAAAAAAAAAAAGTTATTTGATCAAAATGTCTGTTAATGCCGTAATATAACTTTGAGCCATCTGTAAAGTCTCATATTTAGAAAGTTTCCTATCGTTGGTTAATGAGGGAACAACTTCCCTAAGTCGATCAAAAGCCACGTTTAAACTGTGCATTCTTCTTCTCTCTCTAGCGTTAGCTGCCAGTCTACGTTTCTTCACTATAATCGAAGATACAGCAGAACATGTCCTTTTATTGGATTTCTCAGTAAAATCACAATTTTCTTCATCTTTTTTAGTATATTGAACGGAACTAGTTGAAGAATCTTCGTTCGTATATCGAAACGGTTTCAGCATTGTTAAAGTCTTTGGACCACAATCCACACAATCGTAATTGGAACATGGTGTCTCTGGGCTGGATACAGGTGTATAAGAGAAATACGGATCTGGAGAAGCGGCTAACTGCCTGGACCTGCCGCTTTCCATAACTGTAGATGTAGGTCAGGTAATGCTGGATGTGTGCCAGTCGTATCCTTGCTAGTCTACAACTCTCCCCGAGCACATATAAACATCAATGAGGCGGACTTTGTCTATTTATACTACCCTGTTACCCTCAGGGACATGCTGTCCACCAGACCGACGAGAGACTGTTATTATCTGTTCCCTACCGCTATACCTGCAGGCATTGGTGTGACGTAATTTGACGTCACCCATTTTTGTTACTTTTTTTTTAAACAGAGATGAAATTTTGAATTCGATCAAAATTATACATTCGTAAAAAGAGTCTGAATTCACTTAAAATAGTATTTAACCCATTAACATTTTAAATTATTTTATAACATAAAATAAAAGATGATTGTATGATGTCATACAATGTAACTTTATAGAAGTTACATAGAGTCTCTGTGTTATAAAGTTTAGAAATTAAAGTTTAAATATGAGAGAAATTTCGATATTTTATATATGAAAGTTTCTACACTTGTATTCATAAAAAGTGAAACATTCGATATGCATTTTTCTTGTAGCTATAGGCCTAGTATGGGAGAAGTGCGATAACAGGGACGATGTGCTGACAGAAGAGACGGATGACAGATACAGTAGTTATACAAACAAATAGAAAAGACTTAACTAAATCTAGTTCAGGAATAATATTAGACAATCATAATTAAAGTTTCTGTCTAAATATATACGGATACGAACGGGAGGGAAAAATATATTATAAGGATCGTTTTATAAAGTAAAATTCACATTTTTGTTTAGAGATAATTCAGGAAAGTAATACGAAAATCAATTAATTATTCCTCTTTCTTGCAGATTAAACATCTTACCTTTTTAATTACAATTATCTAATTATAATTATAAGCAATTAACCTTAAGGTAATTAACGACGGTTCCTCTCGGATATCGGATTGGAATATTAAATCTTCTATTACTTAAACATGTTTGGGTATTCAAAGAGGTCATTTAGAACTTCCTGGCTGGAGAGGAAGGGCCTAAAGTCATGTTCTTAATTACAGCCTATATCACGAATGGAGTGTTGCCGGCACGCGTCAAATATTGACTCGTATTTTTGAGATACCACACCCTGTTTGTTATAAAAACTTCCTACCATCGTGCATGCTAACATTATTTTTAAATATGCAATAGACTAATTATTTCAAATCAATTTCTACACAGCTATGGAATTTTTATAAGAAATCCTAATATATTTTTTTTTTATCTTATTACCTATTAAAATGAGCATATTAAGAAACGAGATTCAATTATCCAGAGATATTCTAAGACACATAAACTATATAGAGTTACTGTTGCAATAAGGAATGGAATATATTGAAGCATTGTAATTTATATATCAAAGGGAAGAAATTGAAGATTATCGACTTTCTCTTAAAAGAATCTATCGAGATAATCAATCATAATCTCAATTTCTTCTCAGGAGGGATTTTCTACATTTAAAGATATTCGAAGACTTCTCTCATTTCTTCATGTTGCCTCAAGATGAACACAATTTGTGCAACAAGAAAACAGAAGCACCAACCAAAGGTATAATTAAGTAAAGAATTTTGTTACAGTTGATTTGTAAACAGTTTTCAGTAGCCGAGTTAGCTTGAGGGTTTAGCTTCCAGATTTCCGTTTGTTGACAACAGAATCACTCCAATTTTCTCTCTCTACGCTAATATTTCAAGTATAGCACAGAAAGGAACAGCCTCCAAGGGACAGATGTAAAGTATCTCTTATGGTAATTACTTCCTCGAATGTTTAAGTAAAGTCTACTAATATCACGAAGAATTTTTATTTAGAAAATATAATTAGCATAATTTATTTTATGGTATAATTCAAGTTGTATTTTTTTTTTTTTTCTTGATATTCTAGTGATGAAAAATGACCGTAAATGTTAGTATTTTACGTATTATCTAACAAATAGGAAGTTATAGAACTAATAATATTTTGAATTAGAGAACGAAGAAAATTCTCACTAGTATATTATAATTTTCTGGATAAATATAGTGCTGCCTGACTTATTTATCGTAGAAAATGCCAAAGGGAAAATTTTGAAAGAGGTTGTCAAATCAGAAAGGCGGTAAAGACAGAAAAAGAGAACGACTAGCCTAACAGTTGACAGCAAGGCTCCAGTAAGATGGATCAGAACTATCTTCAAAGACAGGGTAGAAAATAATTATCTACGAGTTTTCTTTCAGTGACATTTTAAATTTCGTTTCACATTGTAACAGAACAAAAACTTATTCTTTTCTTACAAGTAGACTGAAACAATATTTCGGTATGCGGATGAACAATGCGAATCACATAATATTCTATACTACTTCAGACATTTTAACGTTACGTTTCTCTATATATATATATATTTTTTTTCCGTTAATTTCAAGACCTAGTTTGAAGATAAATAAACTAAAATAAAAAAAAAATGTTCAGTCTGCCTGGCACGCGACATTTAGAAGGAAAAAGTGTTACCACCTTTTTTTTTCTGTAATTCTATCAATCGTTTTAAATCAGGTCTCTTATGTAAGTTTCTCATTAAAGATGCCATCTTTATAAAAATATTGCTGAAAGAAAGAATTAAAAAATATATACAGGCCCTATATATTTTCTAAATCCGATTTAATATTAATATTTTACGTATGATAACATCGCTTTTAATCCTATTATTTATACGATGCGGTCTGTTTTAACACTTAAAATAACAATTCAAAGAAAAGTTTTTAAAGTTTTATTATAAAATCTAAATACAATAAGTTAATGTTCAATATTTCCAATAAAAAAAAATTAAAATCAATACATTAAGATACCATTGTGAAGTAGTCTAAAAGCTATTAATTCACTAGGGACAAACTCTATTATAACCGTTTCCATTACAAATGTGTTGACATTGTAGATTGGATTCGTCTTAATCACTTGGTTCTTTCAAAAACTTATCAGGGAATCAGTAACTATGTTTATATTACGCTTTCAGTTACCGAAAATTCGGTAAAGATGAATATGAGTCAGCTACACGTGGACGATGTTCCCTGATTTTTAGACATATTGTCCCCTTACCGTAGCATCTCCATTCTGGTACATTGATACCACAAGAGGGTTATAAGTACTCCGCAGGTGTGGCACATATAGAGTATATAATGTTGTACACACTCTTCAAGCACCGGGCTTTGTATCGACTCTCTTCATGGTGTGAAATTTTGAAGAAAACTTTAGATGAGGATCCTCTATGGGCAGATGTCTGTTCATATCGATGATGCATTATTCATTCATTCAATTAGATTTTACGAGGAATGTATCCGATTTTCAAGTAGGCTACTTCGCTCTTGTAAAGCACACGAAGAGGGCATAACTTTGTATGAATTACTTATATATATATATATATACGAAAAAACCAGTTTTAACATATAAATGTATTTGGACAATGATATTAATTACAGTGTCGAGCTCTTTGTAAAGTTTTTATTCCTTTTTGTAAAGAATGAAAATATTTATTGATTAATTAGAATGAAGAATATTTAATATTTTAATGAGTTTTAAAAATATACAGTGAATATACAGATCAAATAACGAGTAGATCTATAACAGAAGAGGAAGAAGATGCAGACGTCGAGGAGGAAAATATAAGAAAAAATATATATAAAAAAATTGGATAAAAAAAAAATAATAAATGTTAACTGATATAGAAGAAGATGGAGTGAAAAAATGAGAACAAACAAAAAGATTTAAACTTGTAGATAGGAAAAATGAGAGCAAAAGATAACATTAACTCGATAAATTCAAAATAAATATAAAATTTCAAAATATACAGTTTAGAATTCTTAAATATATGAAATTTTCAACGAAAGGTCATATTCTCGAATGTATAAGATGATTAAATCATTTTAAAAACGATAAATATAAGCCTACATCCTTACTTTGTAAGTTAAAGACGAAAAGAAAAGTTAAATAATACTTTGTTTTAAACGAATGATGATAATTATATTCAGGCATTTAAATAAGTGCAGATGTTTTCGAAAGGGATTTAAAACCTTATTAGTTAATATTATTGCGGATAACAGTTGATGCAGGTGCAAAGATTCAGGTGCAACGTCTCAAATAGGGCCAAGGGCATACGAGGACTATGAGGCAACAGGATAGAAGAACTAAATCAAAATAAGAAAAAAAATCAACAAATCAAAAATATTTTCACACCGAAATATTTTTATTTTATTTTATTTTTTTGGCAATTTTATAAGTCTTGTATCAATTAGAAAATTCTTATTTATGAAGATTTTTGGAACGTAAATAAAGAAAAATATTTTTAAAAAAAATCTGAACTAATTACTGATATCAAGTAGAAAATTAATAATTGTTTCTATCTAGAGGAATATATTTCATTAATTCATCATGTCCAAAAAAAAGAAAAGAAAAATCTATTCTAAAGTTAATTAGAAAATTCTTTAATTGTCGATTTATAATTAAAATATTTTTATATATAATAATATTATATATTAGCCTACCCAGTAATTAAAAATGGACAATTATCGCCAGGTTGGAAGGCCTCATCCAAACTCTTCCTGTTACCCGTTTAGACGAGGAACAACAATTGGAGGCAAATGACCTTACACCAGACCTAATTTATTCTTTAATAATGACATATTCGATAACCATTGCTTTTAAGAAATGAAGGATTAAAAAGTCTAATATAAATTTGATACGAATGAAATTTATAATCACTTATTTAAATTGAAACCCATAAATTAATGCTAATGAATGATAGGATTGAAAAATAAAATTTCACCTTTGACAAGTCACATAGAATATAATAATAATAAAAAAGAACTTTAATCATACATCAAGAGTATTTTAAATCAAATAAATTATGCTTTAAGCATACTGATAAGTCCAAATTAGAATATGAAAAACGAGCAAACTATTAATCATATAATAATAATAAAAAAATCGAATAATAAAGAGAAAAAAATATAATAATAATAAAAAATTATTACTTTATTTATTTTAAGCAGAAAAGTCATTAAATGAATGTGTAGTAAGACAATGTTTGCTAAAGAATACAATTTATATTTGTACAAGCTCTTACACATCCTCTATTCAACATCCCCTTTCACGGACGTAACAGATTTTTGTAAGATAAAAAAAAATTATATATATATATATATATTGAACTGAATAAATAATACATTCAGTAAATCAGAGGAAAAATAATTGTTTAGTCTAAGTAGAATACATAAAAACATTTTATATGAGATGTATCCTATTTTGAGTCTTAAACTTTCTACATTACACGAAACAATTCATAGAAAAAGTTAAT